TGGTGGGTTGTATTAACATGGAGACCCAAATCTGCTTCTAGGGGTTCACATGAAAATACACGTCAAGACCCTGTAACAGATGCAATAATGGAAATAGTAACATATTGCCCTGAGGACCCAGCAGATGGACAGACCAAGTCTGGGGAGAATCAGCCAGACTTTACAATGGCCAGGATGTTTAAACTGAGCCTCACTGGGTGAGTAAGGGACTCCAGGAGGAAGAGCAAACTGGCTGGAGCAACAATGATAAGCAGGAAAATGAGCACATTCAGGGCATGATGAAAGGTTGTGGGAGCTAGAAAAGGAGGGTGGGCCATGGTATGAAGGGCCTTGAATGCAGTGGTCATCTCTACTTTAAGCCATTGCCAGTTCCCTTAAAGAGGAGGGACGTGATCATTCCTGCATCCTTTATGAGATCAGAAAATGGGGACATTTTTCATGTTGCTAGCACTTTCTTGGACAAGATTCAAGAGAAACCTCAATTTTAACTTTTTACTAAAATTTTTTAAATGCAGACAAAAATATGCATGTCTTTGGACTTTATCTCAAATTTCAAACTAATTCATAAATTTCAAAAAAATTCAGGGGGCGGCAACTCTCAGAATAGCCCACTCCACTGCAACATAACAACCCCACAAAACATGCACAAGGATAAGCAGTGTGTGTGGATGGACTTGGACCCACATGCTGTCCCAGACTCCAATTCTGATGCAGATGAAGCCCAGGGAAATGCTGGGTCAGGCTTCCAGTGCCCCAGCCTTCCAGTACCCAGCTAGCTCCCACAGTCAGCACCACCGCCCCCAGCTCATCTCTATGTTATTTACAGGGGCCAAGATGGCCTCCAACAATGCTTCCCTTGCAAGAAGGCTGAAGTGCTCCTTTCCCCACAAGGCCAGGCTGTCCCCTTTCTCTCTTGTCCCTTTCTGAAGGCAGGAATGTGGAAGTTGAGCTTCCCAGTAAAAAACTGGTGGATAGGCATGGAGAATTTCAGAAGTCACCTGACCCAACATTGACACACACCTCTCCTTCAGCATGTATTACTCTTGACTTCTGCTTTTGAAGAAAACTTGATCAGGAGTTATGAGACCTGGGTTCTACTTCTTAGAAGCTAGTTGGCCTCAGACAAGTCTCCTAACCTTTCCAGGCTTCACTTTCCCTCTCTGAGATATGGATAACCCTTGTCCTTCCTGCCACACAGCATCATTGTGAATTAATGCTCAGCATAGCTCCAGGAGCACAGTGTTACTGATATTATTGATATCAGCAAACAGCAATCTCTACTGAATGCTGACTATGCACCAAGCACTAGGGAGACAAATAGTGGACAAGTGGCTAAAAACAAGCAAACAAATAAATGTGGCATGGAAAGGAATGAAGATAACAAACAAAAAAACCAAAATGGAGACTATCAGAGGGGTAACTCCTCCAGACATACGAGTCAGAGAAGCCTCTCTGTGAGTACATGTATCTTCAGCCCCAAGGGATGGGAAGGCACCAGCCATAGGAAGAACTAGACAAAGTGCAATTCAGGCCTAAGCTAAGGCCCATGCAAAAGCCTTGAGGAGGGCAAAGAGTTGGGTGTGGCTGAGGACAAAGAGAAGGCCAGCATGGCAGGAGCAGAGTTGGGGTTCTTCCACCCAGTGGGGACAAAACCCAACCCCAGAAATAGGAAAGGGGATAGAGACATCTGGCAACTGTCTCACATTACATAGAAATACTGTATCTTTTTTATTCTGCTCACAATGGGTAAGAGTGAAACGAGAGGAGGTCTACATGCAAGAGAATGAAACTGTATTATTGTTTAACCCCATACACAAAAGTAAACTCGAAATGGATCAAAGACCTGAATGTAAGTCATGAAACCATAAAACTCAAAGAAGAAAACATAGACAAAAATCTCTTGAATATAAACATGAGCAACTTTGTCCTGAACACATATCCTTGGGCCAGGGAAACAAAAGCAAAAATGAATAAATGGGACTACATCAAACTAAAAAGCTTCTGTAGAGCAAAGGACACCATCAGCAGAACCAAAAGGCATCCTACAGTATGGGAGAATATATTCATAAACAACTTATCCAATAAAAGGTTAACAACCAAAATATATGAAGAGCTCACACATCTCAACACCCAAAAAACAAATAACCTCACTAAAAAATGGGTGGAGGATCTGAACAGACACTTCTCCAAAGAAAAAATTCAAATGGCCAACAGGCACATGAAAAGATTCACCACATTGCTAATCATCAGGGAAACGCAAATTAAAACCACAATGAGGTATAACCACACCAGTTAGGATAGCCAATATCCAAAAGACAACAAATGCTGGCAAGAATGCAGAGAAAGGGAAACCCTCCTCAAATGTTGGTGGGACTGTAAATTAGTTCAACCATTGTGGAAAGCAATATGGAGGTTCCTCAAAAAACCAAAAATAGAAATACCATTTGCCCAGGAATTCCACTCCTAGGAATTTATCCAAAGAAAACAAGATCCCTGATTCAAAAAGACATATGCACCCCTATGTTTATCACTGCACTATTTACAATAGCCAAGATATGGAAGTAACCGAAGTGTCCATCAATAGATAAATGGATAAAGAAGATATGGTATGTATACACAATGGAGTACTATTCAGCCATAAGAAGAAAAATTCTACCATTTGCAACAACATGAATGAAGCTAGAGGGTATTATGCTCAGTGAAATAAGCCAGGTGGAAAAATACAAGTACCAAATGACTTCACTCATTTGTGGAGTGTAACAACAAAGCAAAACTGAAGGAACAAAACAGCAGCAGACTCACAGACTCCAAGAAGGGACTATCGGTTACCAAAGGGGAGGGGGGTGGGAGAGAGTGGGTGGGAAGGGAGAGTTGAAGGGGATTAAGGGGCATTATAATTAGCACACACAATACAGGCGAGTCACAGGGAAGGCAGTACAGCCTGAAGGAGACAAATAATAACTCTATGGCATCTTACTATGCTGATGGACAGTGATTACAATGGGGGCGGGGGTGAGGACTTGATAATATGAGTGAATGTTGAAACCACATGCTGCTCATGTGAAATATTTTTAAGATTGTAAATCACTGATAACTTAATTTTTAAAAAAAGAAGAAAAGAGAGGAGTCAGAGGCCAGGTTCCAGCCAAGGAACACTGTACTGACCATAGCAAGGAGAGCAGATTCATTCTCAGTGCTATGGAAGCCACCAGGGGTGCCATGAGTTGATTTCTATCTTAAGAAAATCCCTCTTGACAGTTGTGAGGAGAATGAATTGACAGAAGAGGCAAGGATCTCCACAGCACAGGTAGGGGGACCAGTTGGGGCTACAGTAGCGGCCAGGTGAGAAAGGATGGTGGCTCAATGGTGGTAGTACCAGTGGAGAGAGGACATATTTGAGAAGCATTCTGGAGGTAAAGTCAACAGACCTTTCAGAGGGATTGGATGTTGGGTAAAGAGAAAGGAAGAATTCAAGGAAATGCCAGACTCTGGTTACAAACTGGGAAGGAGGTGCCATTTATTGGACAGGATAGACTAAGGAATGAGAGGTGGGTTGGGACCAAGAGTTTCCTTTTAGACATGTTAACTTTGAAATACTGGTGGGTTGGGATGAGACATTCTCCAGTGGGGATGTCACATAGACTCTGGGATAACAGGATTCTGGAAGTCTTTGTGAAGGGGAAAGTACTAAAGAAATAACCTGCTTCCTACTAATGCCTAACATGTTACCCCAAAACTTGGCAGCTGAAAACAAACATTTTATTTTGATCATGCTTTTATGGGTTGGGAAGAGCACAACTGAGCAGTTCTTGCTTGGAATTTCTTACAGCAGCAGTCAAGATGCTGGCTTGGGTTGCCATTGTCTGAAGCCTCAACTGGGCTGAATGTCCAAGACCATCCAGTCTTGTGGCTGGCCGCTGGTGCTGGCTGTGGCCTGGGAGCTTCACTGTACTGGCAGCTGGAGCAACTGGACATGGCCTCTCCTGCACTGTGGTCTCAGGGTGTTTAGACCTCTTACCTGCTGCTGGCTTCCCCCAGAGTGCATGTCCCAAATAGAGGTGGTGGAGCTAGCTGGTCTTCTTTGATCCAGCCTTGGAAGTCACACAGTGTCACTTCTGCCTTCCTCTATTGGTTGAAGTCATACATGCTGTGGATAAAATTAAATTTCCTGTGACCAGGATTCTCACCTGGCCCTGGTTGGCTAGCTCACTACACACATGTGGTCAATATGTTGCTATTGACTATATAAAGAGCTCCTCCTAGTACTCTGGGTGACATGGTGGCATGGCTGCAAGGCTGCAGGAGAGCAGTGCAGAGCCTGGAGTAGTGGCAGTACTGAGGACAGAGGCCCAGAGGACAGCTGTGCAGGCAGGTCCAGAGGTTGGCTGTGAGGGCAGAAAGGCCCAGAGGACAACTGTGTGGGCAGAGAGGCCCAGAGGCAGAGACTGGCTTGCTTCATGCAGACACTCTGAGTGGATGGGATTTTAGTGGTTGACCTGCCACCATGGAAATAAAGTTGGGTATAACCCTTTCACCCCAAGAATGTTCTACTGTCGTTTCTTTGGTCACACTGAATCCATAGTGAACTTGCCTGGGGCTGAAATCCATTGGCAAGACAATTGGGATAGTTGGCAAGATTCATTGGTGACCAAGGAAAAAGAACAGGTTGCCCTCATGGAAGTGTTACAGAAAATACTGAAAAAAACCTGGACTAGATCACTAACGGAAGAACCAAGCAGCACTCAAAGGTTTTGGAGTTTTGAGGCTTTATTTCACACCAGTGGGCTCAGAGGGGAGTAATCTCCCAAAAGTCTGAGCCCCTAACAAAGGCAAAGGGAGTAATATATATCTTTCTACTTCTGTATCTGTAACATTCCTACGTTCACAGCAAGCGAGCAGGAAAGGGGGAGTGAGTTTAGGGAGTGAACCTAGGGAGTGGGTGCTCAGCAGAGCGGGGGGTGCTCAGAGAGGGAAGTTAAAGGAGTTTCTGTTGTCTTTGCTAAGAAGAGCAGCAGAAAGGAGCCACCTGGACTAGATTGCTGTCCTTGTAAGTTTTTCCCTATCCCCCCTCTGATGCCTCTTTAAACTTCATTTTAGGGGGCATCATCTCTTTGGCTTATGATAGGGTCATAACGGCTCTGCATATACATGAGCTGTACGGAAGAAATGCGTTCCCTGAGAAAGTTAATGAGCTCATTAAAGATGCACGGTATCACTAATAGTTTAAGGAGTAACAACCGCTGGCCCAGCAAGGCCAGTTAAAAGAGTTGTTAGCCCATGTAAGAGAATGAAACTGGATCACTGTCTAACCCCATACATAAAAGTAAACTCCAAATGGATCAAAGACCTGAATGTAAGTCATGAAATCATAAAACTCTTAGAAGAAAACATAGGCAAAAATCTCATGGACATAAACATAAGTGACTTCTTCATGAACATATGTCCCTGGGCAAGGAAAACAAAGGCAAAACTGAACAAGTGGTACTATATCAAGCTAAAAAGCTTCTGTACAGCAAAGGACACCATCAATAGAACAAAAAGGTATCCTACAGTATGGGAGAATATATTCATAAATGACAGATCTGATAAAGGATTGACATCCAAAATATATAAAGAGCTCACACACCTCAACAAACAAAAAGCAAATAATCCAATTAAAAAATGGGCAGAGGAGCTGAATAGACAGTTCTCTAAAGAAATCCAGATGGCCAACAGGCACATGAAAAGATGCTCCACATCGCTAATCATCAGGGAAATGCAAATTAAAACCACAATGAGATATGACCTCACACCAGTAAGGATGGCCAGCATTGAAAAGATTTAGAACAACAAATGCCGGCAAGGACACAGAGAAAGGGGAACCCTCCTACGCTGCTGGTGGGAATGTAAACTGCATCAACCATTGTGGAAAGCAATATGGAGGTTTCTCAAAAAACTGAAAATAGAAATACCATTTGACCAGGGAATCCCACTCCTTGGAATTTACCCAAAGAATACAACTTCCCAGATTCAAGAAGGCATATGCACCCCTATGTTTATTGCAACACTTTTTACAATAGCCAAGATATGGAAGCAACCTAAGTGTCCATCAGTAGATGAATGGATAAAGAAGATGTGGTACATATACACAATGAAATACTATTCAGCCATAAGAAAGAAAGAAATCCTACCATTCGCAACAACATGGATGGAGCTAGAGGACATTATGCTCAGTGAAATAAGCCAGGCAGAGAAAGACAAGTGCCAAATGATTTCCCTCATTTGTGGAGTATAACAATGAAGCAAAACTGAAGGAACAAAATAGCAGCAGACTCAGAGACTCCAATAAGGAACTAGTGGTTACCAAAGGGGAGGGGTGTGGGAGGGTGGGTGGAGATGGAGGGAGAAGGGGACTGAGGGGTATTATGTTTAGTACACATGGTGTGGGGGATCATGGGGAAAACAGTGTAGCACAGAGAAGGCAAATAGTGAATCTGTCCCATCTTACTACACTGACGAACAGTGACTGCATTGCGGTATGCGTGGGGACTTGATAATATGGGTAAATGTAGTAACCACATTGTTTTTTCATGTGAAACCTTCATAAGAGTGTATATCAATAATATCTTAATAAAAATTTGTAAATTATTATTATTACTATTACTACTATTGTTCTTACTAACACTCTGTTGGATACTCACCACATGCCAGGTGCCATTCTAAACACTTCACGTGTATTAACATCTGAGACAGGTACTATGAACATCTCCATTTCACAGGTGAGGAAACGGAGGCATGGAGATGTTTAGCAACGTGCCCCAAACCGCATAGCTGGGCTCCCTCTCTGCACCTGGAGAGAATGAATATACAAATGGACATTGGCCAAACCGTAGTGACAATGTAACTCTGACCCACAGCCTCTGCTGCAATCAGCCCTGGAAGGCAAACCACACCCTCTGCAGCAACAGACCCGAAACACTCCGCACTGCCTGGTCAATGACTGCCAGTTTCCCTATTGCCCTCTCCTCCCTCCTCCACCCCGTCCAACTACTGACAACCAATCACATAATACTCCCCGCCCCCTTCTGGTTAGCCCACCTCCGCTTTCCCTTCCTACCAGCTTCCAGTTGAGGCACACCTGAAGCCTTCCGTGTCCTCACTGTAAAGCTCTCCCACTGCCTCTCTATGAGTCTTTGCCAAATTACTAGCGACGGTGGCTGACTCCCTCACTATCGCAAACTCTGATAGAATCGCATCAGTTTGTTCACATTTGAGTGGCCTTTGTTTATGTCTACAACCTCACTCCCCATTGACTTTCTGTCCAGATACAGGCTGGGTTGGGACGGGGAAATATTCTCAGAAGAGCCGCAGGCAGGTGGAAGGAACCCATGGGGATGCGGGTGAGGGCAGCTGCATTTCTACCAGGCTAGTTCTGGCCCCCAGGTTGTTCTGTAGCCACTGGAGGGTTCTATTGATTTTCTGTCCAGCTAGTGAGCCTTTCCCTGCTCCCTCTCCAGGTCACTGGGCTTCAGGTCCCTGCCTTACCTCATTTTTCAGTCCCCTTTGCAGAGGGAGGGAGGGAACTGCCCTGAGTGCCTACTGTGGGCTGGGTCCAAACTAGTCTCTTTACCTGTTTCAGTTAATCCTAAATAATCCTGTGAGGCAAGTCCATCTTTCCACAGCCTTGAGATACACTGGGCTTCAGCTGTGTGTCCAAAGTCCAAACCCCCACACAATGCCTCAGCTTCCTGTCTGTAAAACAAGAGGGAGACTGGATGAGATCAGTGCCTCTAGGAAGCTGGGGAAGCCCCTTAGAGCAGAACAGGAACCAAGGACCCCCATATTCCTGCTTCAGAAGGGCAGCAGCCTCAGGCCTGCCACTCATATATTTAGGGTGCACTTGAGATTTAGCTATGTTTATAA